ATACAAATTACAATAATTTAAAATTATTTAAGTTTATTATTTAATATCTCTTTTCTATTTTAAAATTTCCAAAACTCGTAAAAAATCTTTCCATAGAACTGGCTCTGGATCCGGGCGAGAGGAGTGCCCGCCCAAGGTTTATAGAGCGCCAATCCTATATATATAATTATAGCAAAGAGTGTGGACCTCATCCTTCAAATTCCTAACTTTTAATTTTATTTTTTATTTTTTTAGATTTTTACAATTTTTTTAATGCAATTTTTTCAATATATATCACTTACTTAATTACATGTATTTTTTTAAATAATGGGATAGTGGGATATAATAGGACAGTAAGATATAACTTGATAGTGGAGTAGTTTTTTAATTATTTTTTTTTGTTAATTCTCTCAATAATTTAGCACAATATCTGCCATTAGCCTCCGTTGCATTCGGGAAGGATTTGCTACTCTCCCTTCAACCATTTGAGATTTTTTGAAGAGACAAAAGTTTAGTATTTAGTGACTCTTCCTTCTGCCATTTGAGATTTTTTGAAGAAGCAAAAGCTTAGGATGTGGTGATTCTCCCTTTTACCATTTGAGATTTATTTAAAGAGGCAAAAACTAGGCAATGACTCTCTTTCTCCTTCTGCCATTTGAAATTTTTTTTAAGAGGCAAAAGTTTGACAAAGACTCTTTGGACTGTCTCTGGTATAGTCTGTTCAACCTTTCACAAGAGTAGATCCACCATTTTCAGAATAAAATTACTTATTTCTTTCTAATCAAAGGATGCTTTGAGATTTTTTTGTTATTATTATTATTATTATTATTATTATGTAGAAGTATGAAATTTACAACAGTTTATTTTAATTACATTTATTTCTAAATTGTCTTCTAGCTTTTATTATAATTTTAATTTATCTTTTTTAATTGTCGTTTACTAATTAACATTTTTGTATTGATGAAGTTAATTTGGCAAGGATTCGATGACTCTCCCTTCTACTATTTGAGATTTCTTTGAAGAGGCAAAATGTCTGGACCCCTTTATCCCCTTTTATCATTTTAGTCACTGTCGCAAACTAGTCCCATAAGTGAAAAATTTTCGCTGTTTTAGTTTTCCGTCGCTGGAGACGCCCGCGTGGCTCGCCGGAGGTGGCGTGTCCGCTAGGTGCCCCTTTTAATTTTTTTTTATTTGGACCAAATAAAAAAAATAAAACAATACAAATAAAATTTAAAATAAATTAAAAATAAGTTTTAAATTTTTTTTTTAAACAAAATCCATGTGTCCGCCAGGTGTCGCTGACCTGGCGGGACACTTTGCGGACACGTCACCTCCGGCGAGCCACGCGGGCATCTCCGGCGCCGGAGGACTAAAACAGCGAAAATTTTTCACTTATGGGACTAGTTTGCGACCACTCACGGGACAAAAATGATAGAGGGTCCAGTTACGGGAATAAAATAATAGTTTACCATTTATTTTTTTTTTGTAGAAGCATGAAATTCACAGCAGTTTATTTTAATTACATTTATTTCTAAATTATCTTTTATCTTTTATTATAATTTCAATTTATCTTTTTTTTTTTTTTCGTCTGCTAATTAACATTTTTGTATTGATGAATTAATTTGGCAAGGATTTGGTGACTTTCCTTTCTATCATTTGAGATTTCTTTTAAGACGCAAAACCTTGGCAATGACTTACTTCTTTCTAATCAAACGATGTTTTGAGATATTTTTGTTATTTTTGTTTATGTAGAAAAATGAAATTCACAACAGTTTATTTTAATTATATTTATTTTTAAATTGTCTTCTATCTTTTATTATAATTTCAAATTATTATTATTATTATTATTATTATTATTATTTTTTGTTGTTTGCTAATTAAAATTTTTGTATTGATGAAGTTAATTTGGCAAGGGTAACTATCCCTTCTATCATAAGAGGCAAAACCTTGGCAAGGGTGTAGTGATTCTCCCTTCTAAGATTTTTGTAAGAGCCAAAAACTTGGCAAAGATTTGGTGACTTGGCCTGTCTGTGGTATAAGCTCGGCAGGGACTCTTAGCATGTCTCTGATATAGTTCGTTCACCCTTTCACAAGGGTAGACTCACCCGAATAAAATTACTTACTTTTTTTCTATTTGAGATTTTTTTTGTTATTTTTTTTTATGTAGAAGTATGAAATTTACAACAGTTTATTTTAATTACATTTATTTCTAAATTGTCTTCTATCTTTTATTATAATTTTAATTTTTTTTTTTTGGCCCTTTGCTAATTAATATTTTTGTATTTATGAAGTTAATTAAAAATTTTCGGAGAAAAGTTGTTCATCGAGCACTCATTTGCAATTTGAAGATAATTTCAATCATCAAATAATGTGAGTATTTCTTTTTTATAAATAAATAATTATAATTTTTCTTTAATAATTTATCTTTCACATCATTGTGTCTATATATATATATACATACGATATGAAGTATCAAGGTTATTATAATTTATTACATTCATCTTTCTTGTGCCTCCAACGTTTGCAAGACCAGATGCTCCATCTCCGGTGTTTTAAGTTATGACCATAGATTGGTGTGAAGAATATTCACATATTTTGAAAAGACCTTCACAATTATAACTATTTTTTTTCTATTTTTTTTTAGAATTATATATTTTTTTCCGTAGTTTATAAAATAACTTTGACTTAAATGTCATGATTTATATTATATGAGATGTAATGATTTATATTACGTAAGATTCCATCTACAATATTTTATTTACTTTTATTTATATAGTATAAAAATAATTTTATTATATATATATTTATTTTATAAATTATAAATAAATCATATATGCAAAATTTATCAAATATATAATTACATTACAATATTATTTTAAACCTATTTTAATTATATATACACTCGTGCATAACACGGGTTTAAATTCTAATATATATATATATATATATAAACCCTAAAATGAGTTGAGTTTAGTTTAGAACTAACTGTACATACGGACTCAGATAAAAATAAATAAATATTTCGATAAAAAAAAAAATAAATTAATAAATAAATGAAGGGACCGACCAACGATCTCCCCAAAACCAGGTTGTAACAACAAATTTGAACCAGTCAGGACTCAGGGCACCCACCTCAGTGACCTCACAGTCACAAAGGTAGACTAGAAACAAAAGAGAAGTTCGTGATGAAGAAGTCTAAACTTTTTTTTTTTTTTTTTTTTTTTTTTTCTAAATTAAATAATCATTTTCCATATCTATCAATCTATTTATTTCTTATATGAAATTTTAAAAATATTAATATTATATTGTAAAAATAAAAATAGAAAGGTAATGATATTTGTATAATATATTATAAATTAAAAAAAAATTTATAATATTAAATACATAGTACAATTACTAAAAATGAATAAATACTTTGTTATTTGACGGACTAAAATAAAAAAATATATAGATTGTTAAGGGATGAAATAAGTATTATATACAAATATATAGTTGCTGGTTGTGTTTACTCGTAAGATTTTGGTTTTAAATTTTGGTTTTGAATAATAAAATTTTGAATTGAAATAATTATTTGATATAATATAAATATGTGTTGATGTGATGTTTAAAATGTAAAATTTAATTTTAGTGTAATATAATACATAAAAAAAAATAGGTATGATACTTTTGGATTAAAAAAAAAAAATTGAAATAGTAAAACGAAAAATCAAATTTCACTAGTAAAGACAACCCTCTCTTTGTTGCTTTGATTATTGAACTTCTAACATCGTTTCTATTGGATATATTAAAAAATACTCCCTCCCTCCCTATCACGTTATATGCCCGGTTTAGTGTTAGACAAATGAATGTAAAATATAATTAGGAAGTAATTAAATAATGTAAAAAAATTATAAATTATGAAAATTTTAAAATATCATTAAAGTCTATAATAATATTTTCTAAAACGAAAAAGATAAATAAGGTGAGACGAACCGAAATAGGAACAGTGACGAAAAAATGTGAGACAGATAGAGTAAATTATTAATTGATTAATTTTATACATTACTGGTTTGTTTGTTTAATATTTTATTTTGATTTGAAGTATTTTTGTACATGTGGTATAAAAAATTGTATCGATTATATAAAATATAATATTTTGTATTGTATGTTAAAGTTTTATGAAAGAATATAATATTTCATTCATTCTATAAAAAGAGTACCATATGCTTTTTGCGTGTAAATATTTGAATATTAATTATTATATTAAAAAAATAATTAATTATATTGAAAAATATTGTGTAGAATGATACAAATATTCTTAAGACTAATAAAAAATTCACACTAAATTTACTACGTGACGAATTCTTTTTATTGTGTCCATGAAAATATAATTAGTATTATACATATATAAACACAATTTATAAAAGTATTAATAAACTCTCGTATTAATTATATATCATTTCATGTTATATATTTAAAAAAGATATTAGTATTTTAAATAATTAAAAGATATCCATGACTAATTATTTACTAATATTATTTCAAATAAAAATTTTATATGTTTTATAAAATATTATATAAATTAAAATACACAAATACATGTAGGGTGCCTTCCTTTGGGAGTGGTTTGGGAAGATTTGTTTTGATTTTGGTTTGAATTTGAATTTTTTTTAGTTTTGGAAAGTTGCGGGTTTTGTTTAAATTTAAAGAGTTTTGATAGATAATGATTTGATAGGTAATGATTGAATCGATGAATTTATAATTTAATAAAAAATAATTTAAAAATTAAATAAAAAAAATAAAAATATTGATGTATTAAATAATAATAATATAATTTAAAAAATAAATATGAATATAAAAAGTAGTACTATAATATTATTATTTAATATATTATTAGTAATTATTTATGAATATTAGTATTATTAATTTTCATTAATATATGATAATTTTTAATTATATATTATTATAAAATATTTATTTTACTTCCAATTTGTGTCCTAACACATCGCACAACGACAGCGTCGCGGTAAGTTCTTCCCCCCTTCCTCTCGCTATCCCTCTCGTTCTTTCTCTGTTTTTTTTGTTTTTTTTCCTCCTTTTTCTTCTTCTTCTTCTTCGTCTCCATCCAATTTCCTGCGCCACCGCCCGGTGAAGTATGCCGTTCAATAACGACATCTTGCCGCCGACCTTTGGTTCCCAGTCGACGAGCAAGATTCCCCTGCTTGAGAAAGGAGGTTTTGTGTTGGTGTAGAGGCGAAAATTGTGGAATTGGAATGGAACGAGATTAATTAAGGAATAAAAGCAAGAGTCAAAGGCGACTTACTCTCCACGGCGGTGATTAGATTTCGGGAGGTTTCGTTTGGTAAGTGAGATAGGAAAGGGAAAAAGGGGAAAAAAACAGAGAAAAGCATACAAATTAGGTGTCCGACGTTTTTCCTACAGGGTGGCTTCGCACCCAAATGACCGAAACATAAGCCAAAGGAACACATAATTATTACACGTAATTTATAATTAAAGCGGGAAACACACCAACAGAGGGCACACATAATTATAAACATTTTATCAATCGCCGCCGATGCCGAGATGGACGGCAATACTAACGGCGGCTCCCTTCAGCATGCGGAAAAGTGCCGCGATACTCCGGCACTTGACGGCGTTTCCTCGGACGGGAAGGGTGAAGTTGGGAGGAGGTGGAGGAGAGTTAAAAGGGCGAAGGTGACGTGGCTGTGGCTGTATGTATCCAATAGAAAAAGCGAATAATAATACCTTCAATGCTCTTCTCGCCATCGTCTGATCTGATCTGATCTGATGCAATTTAATTTAATTTAATTCGAAATATATATATATATATACATGATATGATATGAATTTAAAGCTAAGAAGAAGGGGAAATGGCGAGATGAATAACGCGAATATGTATGTATATATATATATATATACATTTTGTGTACTCTCCACTTGAATTATTTAAAATATTTTTCAAGCTGACGTGGAAGACTGGGGTGCCCTCAATGTTGGCTTTCACATCATAAATAAATAAAATTGATTAATTAGGCTATATCTTGGCTTTCACATCATAAATAAATAAATAAAATTCATTCATTAGGCTATATCTATAATCTATTAAATCAAACCGCGTGATGGTGCGGTGGAGTGGAGATGGACTTTCAATCCTATCTTAATTCAGACAGGGGGTTTGGATTTTGAATTGGGATTTGAATAGTAAAAATTTTGAATTTGAATAGTTGTATGATGTGATATAAATAGGTGTTGATGCTATGTTTTGAATGTAAAATTGATTTATAGTATAATATAAAAAATAAAAAATAGGTGTTTGTATAACTATATATTCATTTGTTTTTAAAACGAAATTTAGAAATATTAGTATTATATTGGAATATAGTATGAATAAAGTAGAAAAAGACTAAAATAACATTATTAGTATTGTGTGATATAAAGGTAATGACATTTGTGTAATATATTGTAAATTGTAAGGGTACTTGTAATGTTATGTAAATAATACAATTAATAAAAAAGAAAATGGATATTTTGTTATGGGAAAAACTAAAATGAAAAAATGGATACTATGTTATGGAACGGAGGGAGTATAATATTTAAGGATATACATTTTTATATTTAATTTTTTTTTTGTTACAAAGTTAAGGATATTTTATTTAAAAAAATAGTAAAATAGCATAATAAAATTATATCGAAACTTTTAAAATTATACTCTTTTCGTTCCAAAACAATTGTTTTGTTTTTCTATTTTCGTCTGTCTAAAAACAATTGACTTATTTTCTTATTTAGTAACTGTGGTCTTCACTTTATAACAAAATTATTTATATTTTTTCAAACTACTTATAACTGTTACTCTAACTTACTTTTTAAAATCTTTAAAAAAGTAGAGTATTTTAATCTTTTATATTTTATTTTATACTTATTTTCAATTAAATATTATTATTTTTTAATTCTCGTATCGACACCCAGTAAGACACTTTTTTAGGAAGTGGGGAGTATATGATTTAGTTTGTATGGTATTTTGATTTGAATTTTTTAATATGATTTTTTTTTTTAATATGAAGTATAAATAATTGAATATTAGATTGAATGATATAATGAAATATATATTGATACTTGTGTCAAGAAAATAACATTGTAATGAACAAATCTCTCTGTATAGAATCATTCATTATTTAATTTAACTAGCATTTATTATTATTATTATTATTATTATTATTATTATTATTGCGGTGGTGGTGGCGGCGGCGGTGGCGGCGGTGTCTGCCTGAGCACGGGGCACCCCACCTCATCTCACGTCACCTTGCTTTGTAGTCATTCAGTACAGTGCGCGTGGTGTGCCACCAAACCAAACCAAATAATCTAATCTAATCTAGGCTAGTCTAGTCTGGTCTAGTTTAGTTTAATTTAATAATCAAATAAGCAGATAATATAATTAACAGAAATAAATATATATAATTTGTTTGTCCAATTGTTTCTTTTTCAACACGATTCTATTATTTCATACAAAAAAGTAATATTCAAAATAAAATAATTATTACTTCTATCAGATTTTATATGTCTTATTTATTTTTTATTTTTTTTAGTTGATTTTTTAATATTAATTATTATATTAAAACGTAGTATAAATTAAAAAAATTGTAAAAATATTTTCTTTATAATACGAATAGAAAGGTATTTGTAAAATAGTTATAGAAATATAAAAATACTTTTAATGTTAAATACAACTAGCGGGAAGGCCCGTGCTAAACACGGAACAACGAAAATTTGTTATTATTTTAAAATACATTATTATAGAAATTTTTATTAATTTTATATTTATTTTCAATAAGTTTAAAAATAATAAATTTTTAAACAAATAGTAATAATTAAATAAATAACAAATATTTTTTTTAAAAAAAAACATTATCATTTAAAATAAATTAAAAAATAATTTTACAAAAAAATAAAATACAATATTATTTAAAAATTATGATTTACCTTTAATATTTGGAATAAAATATATAATATAACTAAGATGATATAATGTTAAAATAACAATTTAGTTTATTATGAACAACGTCAATTAAAAAATATATAAAAATTATAAATATATTTTGAATGTGTTTAGAACTTATTGATTATAATAAAGAGTAAGTTGCTATACTTTTATTTCTAAATCAAAAATATTGTTTATGTAACATTAGTTTGTTTGATGTTTGCTTGAACAAAAACACTAATATGTTTTACATAAAAATAAAATACAATACATATCAATAAATTAAATATCCATAAAAAAAAAACTCAAATTTTTCTATAATAAAATGTAATATGAAAATAAAATTATTATTTATATACATAATAAGAATTTTTGCTTTTACAACTTAATGATAAAATCAATTCTCCAACAATATTTACAATACTTTGATAACAAAATTGTAATTCTCCAATGAAAAAATATAATAAAAATAATATATAACTTAATATAAATTACAATCAATTGCGAATAAAAATTTGAATTAAATTTAAATATTTCTATGCATAATAAAATAGTTTTTATATATTACAAACAAAAAAAAATCATCAAACCTTATAGTAACCACCAATATTTATTTATTTATTTTTCTTCTTCTCGTTTCTTCATTTTTACCCTGCATGCTATAAGCAGTTGTCAAAGCAAATTACTATGAAAACAAATTAAATACAAAAAATTGAAAAACACACCAAAATAAATAAAGAAAAATCTAAAAATTATATACTATATATATATAAAAGAAACTATAATCGATAATAATAAAAAAAAGTATCAGAATAATCCTAAAAAATTGAGAAAAAATATGAAAAAAAGAAAAATTATTTGAAAAATAAAAAGAAAATTTACAAAAAAAAAATAAAATTGTGATTACTCAGCACATTTAAAAACACATTTAAAAATTAATTTTTCCCACTAACACTCAATTAAAAACCCATTTAAAACCATATTTTAAGAAACCCGTCAAATCACCTCATTTATAAAAATTAAATATACCACTAAAATATATATATACAAATTAATACATCAATTTGAATATATATATGTGATATATCAAATTTATATATTTAATAATACATAAATAAATATATTTAATTTTAATTTCATATTTACTAAAGCAATTCATAAATAAATAAATAAAATTTTAGTAACAAAATTTAAATTAAAAAAATTAATTATATATCATAAAAATAGTTAATTATAAAACTAATTTGTGAAAATAATAATAAGTTACTTAAAAAGAAAAAGAAAATCTAAATCCTAAAAAAATAAATATAACAAAAATATAAAGTAAAAAATTGTAAAAAAAAATCTAAATAAAAAAAGTTAAATATAATAAAAATATAAAGTAAAAAATAGTAAAAAAAAAAATCTAAATCCAAAAAAACAAATATAACAAAAATATAAAGTGAATAATAAAAAAAATCTAAATCCAAAATTTAAATAAAATAAAAATATAAAGTAAAAAATTGTAAAAAAAAAAAGAAAAATTAAATTCAAAAAAATAAATATAACAAAAATATAAAGTGAAAAATTGTAAAAAAAAAATCTAAATAAAAAACATAAATATAATAAAAATATATTAAAGTAATTCATAAATAAATAAGTAAAATTTTAGTAACAAAAACTATAAAAATATTCTGTATAATAAAAATAGTAATTTTATTGATAAAAAGTGAAAAAAAAGGTAAAATAAAATTTAAAAAAATGAGAGAAAAATTAAAAGAATGAAATAAATTTTTTCTACTAAATTGGATAATTCATCGATGAAAATTTATTAAAAACTTAAATTTACTAAAAAACTTATTTCAATAATACAAACTTCTGCATTTGATATTTTTTTTCTTCCACTGTCATATGATATCATCTTCTGCATTTTCATATTGTTATTCTATGCGTAAAAAAAAATTTATCTGTAAAGAAAAATAAAATAGAAAAGTATCAGTATTGTTAAACTATTAAAAAAATAACACACATTTAAAACTAAAAAAAAAAAATTACGTACACATAATATTCTTATTTCTACAATTGTCATCTTCTGCATATCGCATCTTTTTCTTTATACTATTTTTATTCTAATCATGGAAAACTAACTGTATCTTCCCACCACCACTGTCACCCATCTATCACTTATATTAAATAATAAAAATTGTAATTATGTGTAATTCTGTAAAACTGTAAAAAAAAATAAAAAAATCTCAAAATTCTGAGATTGCAGGATTGCAAAAATTTACAAAATGTGGGATTCACCCTTTGAGCTCTTTTATATGTATATATATGATATAGTGGCGGAACTAGAATATTAACAGGGGGCCAAAATTTTTAAATTTACAAAATAAGTTTTTTATTTGTAAAATAATACTACTATCATCCACTTAATAATTTTATATTTATTTTTTCATACTAATATTAAATATTAATTATTATATCAAATATAATCCAAATAAAAAGAAATAAATTTTTTATTAGTAAATATTGATATATTATATTTTTATAAAAAAAACCTAATGTATTTTTTTATTAAAAAAAAGTCAACATTTTAGTATTTTTTTATTATTATTTTTATTTTTTTTAAATAATTCTTTGTAAATTATATATATATATTATTTTTTTAAAAATAAAAAGATTTAATAAGATAGAATAAAAGTGGAGCTGAGGTGAGGGGGACAAGGGTGGGCCCCCCACCCCCCGACTTTAATGGGTCCGCCGCCACTCTATATATATATGATTTCCAAATTGAATGTAATCAGTTGAAGTATTCAAACCAATGCGTTTTCAATCATGTAAGTATTCAATCAAACCGTACCCTTAAATTCTTAACTAAAGCAATAATGATATCATCATCAATACCCTTTATACGAA